CAAACGCAAAGGTCAAACTTTGCATTTCAAAAATCAAACGCAGAGGTCAAACCCTACGTTTCAAAAATCAAACGCAAAGATCGAACTTTGCGTTTCAAAAAATCAAACGCAGAGGTCGAACCCTGCATTTCAAAAAAATCAAGCGCAGAAGTCTAGTCCTACGTTTCAAATTCCAAACACAGAGGTCCACTTCTGCGTTATAATAACAGAACGAGTTTTGCTCGTTGATTCAAAGCGTAGAACTTTTCGAAACAAGTTTTATAGCCCCGAAGTTCAACCCTTACCGTCGACGAAGGGAATTTCTGACGATGCACCTTGAGTCGTGGTAGGAGCTATCTTGGATTTTGAAACGGTCTTCTTCCTGGGAGCTATTTCAATCTCGTTAGAGAAGATGAACAAGTTTGTCGGAGAAGAATGAACAAAGATCTTCGTTGGGTTCGCCGGAGAAGATGAACAAGATTCTTGTTAAGTTCACTGAAGAAGATAGAAAAAATCGAATGACTTTTGATTTGACCTTTAGCGGTCTATTTTATAGACCGCTAGAGCTATCAAATCAAAGCAGGACTTTAGGTGAAAATCCCGCCCGTTTTGACCCAGTTGGACCGCCAAACACAAGGTTTAACACTGTGCTTCAGTTTTCAAACGTCAGGCCCAACCCTGAGTTTCAAGTTCTAAACGAAAGGTTTAACCTTACGCTTTAGTTTTCAAATGTTAGGCCCAACCCTGTGTTTCAAGTTACAAATGCAAGGTTTAACCCTGTGTTTCAGCTTTCAAACGTCAGGCCCGACCGTACGTTTCAAGTTTCAAACGCAAAGTTTAAACCTCCGTTTCAACTTCTAAACGCAAAGGATCAATCCTGCGTTGAGCTGCCACTGCCCCACTGCTATTAAGGTTATTGTACAGAGAAGCTAGCAATAGCCATCAAGGTGATGAATGTCGAGAAGAAATTGGCCTGTGACAAGAAGCTATGTAGTCTCTTGGACGAGTACAGACAGGTTATAATCGTTGTCGCTGACAATATCAAGCTCGATCCCTCACGCAACTCTTCCTTTCAATGGCTTAATATTCCTACTAAGATTAACAAGAATATTGTTGAAATCATTACCCTTGATAAGCTGATCAAGAAAAGAGAAAAAGCGAGTCCTCCAAAAGGGTCATTTTAGCTAAATTTGAGATGCGCCTGTGGTGTTCATCAATATCTACAATGACCATTTTAGCCAAATTTAGGTTGCGCCTTGGATGTTCATCAATACCTACAAGAATCATTTTGGTCAAATCTGAACTGCGTCTCACATATTCCTCGAAGTCTACGTGTTCAATATTGTTGTTATTAATAACGTCAAAATCCATGCCTCACACGCATGGGAGATTTTCTCTCGATCCCTAATTAGAGACAAACCGACGCCTAACACGCGTCGCCGGTTAGTCTTTTCCCCATAAAAATAACAAAGCTTATGTATTCAATATTATAGTACCAAGCCAAAAAAAGTTTAGCCTTTTAGCACAACGTTACATGTAGAACGGACTTAGACAATTCATATGCTAGACTGATTTCAAAACGGTAATCGATAAAGGCATATCAAATTCGTTGATGGCTAAGGATTTGCTAAAAATCCTATTACATTGTAGGTCACCAGCATAAGGGTCCTGTGCAGCAAATTTCTATAATCAAGTTTATGATGTTTTCGAAACAGACGTAATGAACAATTATTCAACAAATCTCAAACCAATTTGGGAGCCAAAGTATTCCAAAAATTTATTCTAGTCAACCGCGAACTTTTAAAAACTTTAGAAGGGGTTCTGTAGGCTGTCTAAAAATCACAATAGATAACTTATTCTCATCAAATACCGATAATGGAAGTTACAATCTGACGACTTTCACATTAACAATTTAACAATAAAAGTTTTAATCAAATGACTTTTACATCAACAAATGAAGGCTACAATTGAAAGATTTTCACGTAGATCGAGAAAGGTTACAATTCGATGACCTTCACAACAACCGATGAAAGCTTTGATCAATAGCCTTCACAAAAAAAGCGGGAGTTATAATCTGACGACTCCCATATTTTAAGAAGCCAAGATGAAGATTACAAGATGACGATCTTCGCAATACTCTGATGGAAAAGAGACTATAAATTGACGTCTCTTCAACTCAAAATGCAAAGCACGTCTCTACGGTCCAAGAACCAAAACACAAGAAACAACTTTGCATTCCAAGTCTAAACGAAGAACTCACCTCTGCGTCCCAAAAGCGAAATGCAAGTGGCTGCGTTCCAGAATTAAAGCAACGCAACCACTGCGTTCTCAGTCATTAATGCACCATTAACGCAGCTTCCAGACACTATGTTCACAGCCGTTGACGGAGCTCAAATCTAGCCGCTAATGCAGCTTCCAAACCCTGCATTCAAATGCAGAGTTCACGCCAGAACGCAATTCTTGCGTTTGACTCGTTCAAACACGAGCTGAACGGTTTTCAAAACCATTTCCCCGCGATCTGAGGGATTTCCATCCCACTTATTAGCGGATTAAGGGGTCGGTTACACCCCTTAATCCCCTATAAATAACTAAAAAATCAGTGGAGTTTGGATCTTTGAACACTTTTGGCAGATCTAGAGATCGGCATTCACCCTTGGAGATTTGAGCATCCATTCTTCAGCAACCTAGAGCATTCCTTAGTAACAAGGAGCTTTGGTACTTAGCTTAAAACCATTTTTCTGTTCAAATTAACTCTTCTACAGAGTTTAAAACTCGCACTGAGTTCCTATACTCATCGAGAGTTCTGTTCAAACTTGCCACGCAAGTTCTCCTCAACCTTAAGTCAAGAGGAAAATATTGTATTCCAACGAGGTGAAGCGTTCGGATCGTCAACGGAAAGGAAGCTCGACACGAACATCAAGGGAGGCATTCCATCGACATCAAGAAGGACTCAGTTTTAAACAAAGGGAATGATCTCTGTCGATCTTTCTCTCTTTTGTAAATCGGGAATCCGATACAAGAAGATTGTAATCTCTTTTTATGAGTTGTTAGAGAGAGATTGCATTAAGAGAATTATAATTAATTCTTTTTCTAAGTCTGTTTGAGAGAATAATACAGATTCATTTTCTCAATTTCTTATTTCAATTTTCCCATCAAACATGGACACAAATCAGTGTGTCTTGTGTTCTAATCATCAACTGGAAATCTGTCAACATCTCTTCTTTGAATGTTAGTATTCTGCTCATGTTTGGAATAAAGTAATGAATTGGCTGGATTGTGCTTGGAGGTCTTGCAACTGGAATCTAATCATCAATTGGTATAGCTTCAATCTGAAGGGAGCTGGTTTTATGAAAAACTGAAAAGAATGGCTCTATCAGTCATAATGTGCTTGTTATGGCAGGAAAGGAACTTGAGAATCTTTCTACACAAAGCTTGGGAGCCTGAAATCTTGTTTCGTGCAGTAATCTCCATTTATTCCAAAGTTTTGAATGAAAAAATTCCTCTTCATATGAAAGAAAAACTTGAGAAAATGCAATATGAGTCTTCCGAGATAGTTGATTATTAGACATTGCTCTAGAATATTTGATGTACTTCACAACTTCACATTTAGTAAATGAATAAAAAAAATTCATTGACCAAGAAAAAGATAATATAGATTTGACTTAAACTATTATTTCTAATATACTTCTCAATCAAGACAAACCATAGTCATGATCAACCAGTTAATAATTGTTACAATAGAAGGAATGGTCATTTTAGTACAGTTTTGTTATAGTAAAGATGATGTGCATGTCACACTACTTGAGTGAGATGCATGTTGTGAAGGTAAAGCCAACTCTGACCCCTCTTCAATTGAGAGTGATGCCAGTCTCATGATAGAAGCGAAAAATCTTTGGACGATGTCAAAAAGATGCTTGAGGTTAATGGGAGGCAGGGCAAGATAGGGAAATCATTAATTTTTTTTTTCCTTTTTCTTTTTCTTTTTCTTTTTCTTTTTGAACTGAGGGAACCCATTAATCTTGTTTGAGAACTTATTTGTTAATCCCAAAAAAAAGGTTTTTTAGTGGTTAGGGATTGGGGCCTTGGTTCATAAGATCAAGGCTTGGTATGTACATATGATATATCTATCTCTAATTTCTAATTATTAGGCATTGCAACATCTATTGTATTTACTTAGACCTACATTGCAAAAGGCAACCCAAGACGCTAGAGCCAACCTGGCTAGTACTATCAGGCTTGGGCTACATATGATATATCTACCTCTAATTTCTAATTATTAGGCATTACAACATCCACTAGTACAAAACAGGACAGTCCAAACGGTTATTACAACCGTTTGGACAAGTAGAAATAGCCCAAACGGGTATAACCGTTTGGGATAATAAACCCAAACGGATAAATCCGTTTGGATTGTTAAAAAATCCCAAACGGCTGAACCAAACGGTTTTAACTGTTTGGGATATCTCAACCCAAACGGTTAAAACCGTTTGGGAGTTTAAAAAAAAAAAAAATAAAAGCCTTTTTTTTCCTTTCGTTTCCCCCCATAATTTTCATTCCCGCGCCAGATTTGAGTCATCCCAAAATTTTTGTCCCAGCGCCAAATAAAAGTCATCCCCAAAATTTTCGTCCCAGCTCCAAATTAGAGTCATCCCCAAAATCCCTAACCCCCACCGCACTCTCAAATCCCTAACCCCCACCGCACTCTCAAATCCCTAACCCCCTCGACTTCGCCTCATCCGACCCGGTCGAAGTCCGACTGCTGCCGCTGGCCAACGCCCCTCATCTTCGCCTCATCTTCGTTCGCCAGGCCCCCCCTCATCTTCGCCGTGGGCCATCGTACCCCCTCCGCCTCCCTCATCTTCGCTGACGCTTCTCCTCCTCCATCGTTTCCATCAGTTATATTCAGAAACTGAATACGAGGTATACACAAAACCCCTCAAAGTTCCCCTTTTATAGCCTCAGTCCTTTACCCAGCTCTTACAAGAATTCCCTGGCCAATTCTAGCGTAAGATCCATGCCCCTCAGAATCTTTAAGCACCCATTCCCCCTCCTTCTCCTGCCAAGCACATTAAGGCCTTTATTGCGCGCCGCCACGGCTCGGTGAAGAACAATGAGGCTTCCATCCCCCAGGGGAGCGAGGTTGAGTTGGGCTTTGATAAGACTTTTGGCTTCTCGAAGCAGTTTTTCTCAAAGTACGAGCTTGGTGAAGAGGTTGGGAGAGGACATTTTGGGTATACTTGCACAGCCAAGTCTAAGAAGGGAGAGATGAAGGGGGAGGAGGTGGCAATCAAGGTCATTCTCAAAGCAAAGGTTTGTCCCTCTCCGGAATGAGATCTGGTGTGGATTCAGATCTCATAATATTGTGTCAATAGCACCAATATAATCAGATCCGATATGCTGCTTTATTACTGTTTTCTTTTACATTGTCATCCATTTGTTGTAGATTATAGTTCCTTATTTTCATTATGTAGCTGTTAAGGAAAAATATCTCAATTGATAGCTCTTACATCACAATCTTCCTCATAACCTTGAGTTGCTGAGTATTGCAATTTATTTTTTCTTCCTATTTTTTGTTCCTACATAGAAAGTTGCGGTAGACAGATCCAACAAACTTAAGATGGGGATGCATCTGATGAGTCGATGGACATCACAGCTATAGCAAGAATGAGAAAGTTCAGAGCAATGAACAAGCTTAAGAAAGTAGCCTTGAAGTTGAAGGTGACTGATACTCATCCATTGTTTTTACCAAAAGTTTACCATTCAGAATTTATTTATTAACAATGGAGTATTGTACCCGGGCGATATGGACGGCCGACTGTGGTACTGTCAACATATCCTAATGTTTTTTGTATTTGCATGGCTTAACATTTTTCACACATTAGGAATTTAGAAAAACTGTAGTAGTTCTCAGGCATCTATTCAACCTGGTGGAACAGTTACATTTGAGCATCGAAACATCAAAGGGCAAAACAGGTCCATTGTGGGCTCTGTGACATCTAGCAATCTCCTCAATCCTCAGGTAACACACATCATTATGCACTAGAACATCCTAGATTTGCAATATTTATATGTATGTATAAATGTTCTGTATACTCGAATTACATACAAGAGAATCCTAAATCTTGCAGTATATGTTTATTTGGGAAATATGGTTTGATTTGAGCTGAACATCCACTATCTAAGAGGTTTTGTCAAAATGCACTAGGCAACATGTTTCCTTTATAAATTAATGAGCCAATTGTATGTTAACCTTATACATATTGGAGAATGGGTGGTTCGCGGGGCGTGCATGTTAAACACTTTTCTTCTTTTTCACACTAGCAATTTGTTGTAGAGTTTACAGATTAGAAGCATCTGGGATATCATACTGCATATGTGGACATTCTGCTTACTTTACATAAGTTTAAGGATTTTAAATTACAGCTATAGTCTGGTGAAGTTTACAAGTTTGATTTGGGATTAATCTTTGGATGATAATTAAAGGATAAGGGAATCAGTTGCGTAGGGATTTAACAAGAAAGCTAGAGAATTTCAGTTAACAAGCGCTTTTTCATTTTTACTAGTGTTGTAATTGTGCATTTGTTCTTGCTAACAGTTTGTTTGCCCTCTTATTTGCTTGTTTAGGATGATCTATCTTTCAAGCTTGAGTATGTGCATCCTTACTTGGATGGCGTGTATAATGGTGCTCGGCAATTGCCTACTGGTGCTTTGAGCATGGATGGACCTCTGACAACCTTGAGTAGTACTGGTGTTGATCGTATGGCATTTGCACAAGCAAACATTACTTGTGACAACACAAAGTTTGTCAATAGTGCAATTGTTGGTGAAAGGAATGTGTTTCAGGTATCATGTCCTCTTACTGATCGTTGCTTCCAGTTTTATAGAACTGTTAACTGCAATTC